ATGGCTTCGCTCAACTTCCTTCCCTGCTGCAAATTCTGAGCCATGTTTAGACCTCAGCGGTAACATGGATTCTTTTTTTCTCTCAAGGGGGAAAAAAAAAGCCAGTTCTATAGTATTCATCCTCATCTACGCTGGAAATGCGCGGCGGCAGGGGGGAGGAGCGCAGGGTTAGGCCCAGGGCGTGTGCCCAGCAAGGTGCCAATGCCTGCCTTACCCGCCACCACGAGCGGGTCCCTTAGAGTCGTGCCTGCCTCAGACGAGGGGAAGAATGCATGCATTCACCTGGGAGGTGACCCTAGGACACACTGATAGGGAGGTGGGAGGTGAGACAGGGAAGAGAGACAGGACAAGGTGCGTGAAGGAGCAGGTTTCCGTGTGGGCAACGGGGAGCTCTGGGAGAAGGGTTGACACACCTTGAGGGCATCTCACCCGCAGGGGAAGGATTGTGCAGTATCTACCCTCCACCGCTCATCTGTCACCGCCGAGGGACAGCTGCATGCTCCTGGAGCAGGCCAGGAGTTGCGGCTGCTCTCGGTAAGATGCCGTTTCACTTGTCCTGGAGGGGCGGATGCCCAGGGGACACGGGAGGGCTGCTGACGGCATCCGCCACACCCGCCCGCTAGGGTGGGCTGGAGGGGAGGCGAGGGCTCTGGGGGCCCTGGAATCCTGAGCAAATGGGGGAAACTGGGGATGAGGAAGACTGTCCTCAGGGTGCTGAAACCCTCCCTGCACTCAGAATACCTCTGCTTCAATAGGGACCTAGGGATAGCCCTAGTGTATTATTTTAAAACAGTTTTACTTATCCAGCACTTGTACATTTGTAAAGAAAAACAAACAAAGTTTCTCCAGCCTGGAACAGCAATGGCCACCATCACAACTTAGCTCCAGTTCCCACTTCTGCTGTGCGGGCAACTGCTGTTTGCCAGGCACTCTGCCCTCAGTTGAGTCCCTGAAAGCCACAGGTAAATGAAAAAGTCCTTCCATTTCCACAAGTCATACATGTCAAGCCTGGGGGTGCAATGCAGTCCACACTTTCACTAACCAGTTCCGTGAACATCTGCCAGGAGCCAGCCGGGAGCCAGGCAGCAGGCTAGCAATGTGACTAAAGCTTCCGGAGCTTGAGCGTTTGCAGCGTATGAGCTCATCTGGCCCTTCTAACAGCCCTGAAGGCAGGCAAGGCTGTCATTGGAGTCATCCCATTTCCCAGAGGTGGGCATTCGGGCTTAGGGAGATAAGTGACTTGCCCAGGATCACACTCTGGTGAGCTTCAGAGCAAGGACTTGAATCCAGGTCTTTGGCACCCAGATTAATTCAATAAACTTTTCCTGGGGGCCTGCTACGTGCCGGGCACTGTGGAGACCAAGCCTACAGCCCTGGAATCCAAGTATAGAAGGACTGTGGCTTCTGGCTCCCCTTTCAGTTTTCTTATCTCAAGCTGCCTACTATTTCCAACTACTGTGTGCTTTAGTTTTGCAAGGAATTAGCAGAAACTCCTAAAAATATACTTCTTCTCTAATAGATAAAAGGGTTTAGAAGGCACCAGGACTTTGTGCAAATGAGAGGCTGAAAAAGTTTCTCGTAAGATCTTCAGAGGGAGGGCGGGGTAAGCCTACTTCCAAGGTCCAAGCATTCACCCTCCCAGATCCTTGCCTTCCAAGGCAAGCACCCAAGGCAGCCTGGGCCAAGCCAGGGAGCAGACCCTGGACAGGGGCCCTTACCCCGTGCTGGCCGAGAGCCTGGCTGTGAGTCAGAGCTGACCTGAGGCTGCTGCTCCACTGTCCCCTCTGAGGGAGAGAGACTGGCAGGAGGTGAGGGAGCAAGAAACACACAGAACACAGGGCATCAAGGGCACGGAGGAAGACAACACAGTAACCCATGCAGAGGCCTTTTGCAAGGTCAAGGTAACTGGCACGAGGCAATTTAGGTGCTGGTAAGCCCAGGGTGGGGAGCAGGCCCACACTGTGAGTAAATAAATTCCTGGAAGGTTCCAGAAGACAGAGTCTGCACCAGCCCCTTTTTGAGGGGAGGGAGAAGCAGGGGCCTGGAGAAGGGAAGGAGTGAACTCACGGTCTCGTGGGGAGTCAAGGCCAGCCCCAGGCAAATCCCTTCCCCTGTCTGGGCCTCAGTTTCCCCTCTGTGAAATGAGCTGATAACTAGGACCCTCCCAGCTTGCATAGCCAATTCAATAATTGAAGGCCCTTCCATCCTGGTAGAAAAGGCACCTCTGAGACCCTTTAAATTTGGAAAACTCACTGTTGAGTTGATACACATATGCCTCCCTGCCCCAGCTCACAAGATCCTTCTGACAGGTCATCAGGATAAATGTCTGTTTTAAAAACATGTGAACAGAGTGCCTGACAGCCCAGCTGTGACACTCAATTAAAGCCAGACACAAAGTGGGGAAGGTGAGGGGCGCACACTCAGGGGTGGGTGTCCACGTGACCACGTGGAGGAGCAAGCTGAGACCCACTAGCCAGCTGTGTGTCCCTGGGGTCCCCACTGACACCTAAGGCCCTGCCCTGTATGTCATTAAGTGTGGGAGCAGCTATTAGGGGTAGATGGCAGACAAAAAATCACCTGGGGGTTTCAACACTCTAGGTAAATCTGGATTTGCAGCAGAACACTATCATAACTTTGACAATGTACTAATCATAGTTGCTACTTACTCGCTGAGCAAGCAATATATTACACATATTGATATGTTATTTCATTTAGTTTTTCCCACATCCCAAGAAGGTAGGTAGGATTATATTCCCATTTTACAGATGAGGCCCAGAGAGGCGAAGTCACTTGCCTGATGTTCTACAGAGAGTGACTTGAGCCTAGGTGGGCCAGACCACCAAGGCCAAGCTCTGAACAACTGTTGCTATACTGCCTTGCTTGCAAATCCAGATATGCCTCAACAGTCCCTGGTGTTAGTGTTCAAACCTAACATGTGGGGAAAAAAAGGCAATAAAATTGGCATATACTGGTAGCTGTGATCAGCCAATCCATATTTTACAAAATACTCTCCTAGAATGATATAATTTGAGATCTGGAAATGAGACAAGAGAATTCAGTTGCAATCATTCAAAAAAAAAAAAAAAGTAAGTATCTTTGCCAAGATGCTCACTTTGTTCAACCCATGAAGAAGTCTTAACAAATGGGAAAATAATTACATTTGCCTAAAATTACATCTTTTGTGCACACCAGAGAGCTGACATGCGTTTCAATTACCTGCCACAGGAAGACAAATGGGTAAATCTACGAGATCGCATTATGAAGCGCTAGCACCAGAGACGGTCTCTCCTGACTGATCTGAGTCCGGTGGGATCGGTCTGAATGAATCTGGATAACTCAGTTTAATTTCTTGCTTTCCCCTGGAAGACTCTGGGATGTGCTCAAAGTACACAGCAGGTGCTGCTCTTGTTTCTGGATTTTCCAGAAACACTCAGATGCTGAAGAACATCGTATTGATGAGTGATGGTCCATCAAGCAGTTCTGGCTAACAACCTAGATAATGACCATGCTGGTCCACCTGAAGCAGCTACACCCCACCGTGCTCCCAAGGATGCCCTGCGGATTCTGACAAGTCACTGCCCCCTCTGCCCCTCCGTCCCCTCCACATCACACAAGGAACTTGGTCTGGATGGTTTCAGAGGCCCCTCTGACAGCAGCAGCAAAGCTCAACAAATGACCTGTGTTCTTAAAAAAAAAATGGCCTACAAAAAGTGGAGGTTATAAGAGATGACAAGATACTAAAGAAACACACCGAGCAGATGCGATAGGTGGACTTTGTGTGGGTTCTCCCACACCCCATCTGCAAAGACATCTTTGAGATGACCAGGGGATCGGCACTGACTGGGAATTAATGGATATTAAGAATTGTTCTTCAATGTTTTAGGTGCGACGACAGTATTGTGGTTATGGTTTAAAAAGTCCTTATCTGGTAGAAATGCATACTGAAGTATTTATAGATTGAAATGAGATCATGTCTAGGAGCTGCTTTAAATAAAACACTACAGCAAAAAAGGGGGGATGGCATGAGTGAAGATAAAACAAGGTTGGCAAAATGCTGATAATGGTTGAAGCTGGGAGATGGGTATATGGGGGTTCATTATGCTGCTTTCTCTACTTTATAGCCTGTCTGAACATTTATATAATCAAAGCCAAAAACAGCTGGGCATGGTGGCATGTGCCAATAGTCCCAGCCACCTGGGAGGCTGAGGTGGGAGGACAGCTTGAGCCCAGGACTTCAAGGCTGCAGTGAGCTACGACTGTGCCTGTGAATAGTCACTGCACTCCAGCCTGGGCAATATAGCTAGACCCTGTCTCTAAATAAAAAAAAAAAAAGAAAAAAAAAAACCCAAAACATTGAGAGCCTTCTCAGAATACTAGAACTGACTGCCTCCACCATTTGTACTTTTATAAGCTTCTCAGGGTCATGTGGGAAGATGGAATAAGCCTGAGAAGTACAGGCATCCCTTGGCATCCAAGGGGGATGGGTTCTAGGACCCCTCGAGGATACCCAAATCCCCGGATGCTCAAGTCCCTGATATAAAATGGGGTAGTATTCGCAAATAAACTGCACACATCCTCCCGTGGACTTTAAATCATCTCTGCATTACTTGTAATACCTCATACAATGTAAATTTGATGTAAATAGTTGTTATACTGTATTGTTTAGGAAATAATGAGAAGAAAAAAGTCTGTACATGCTCAGTACAGATGCAACCAACTGCTTTTTTTTTTTTTTGTCTGAATATTTTCTATCTCCAGTTCGTTGAATCCAAGGATGTGGAACCCACAGGTACGGAAGGCCGACTGTAATGTGGTTGAGATGAAATATTCCAAATTTGTTTAAACTAATGTTCTCACAGAGAGGTGTTTTCTATCTACTCTATCTTATTTAATCTGGTACATCATACTTTAATTTCTTTTGATAGATTTTATTGCATAAATAACAACATCCCTGAATATGCATTTCATCAACTAGAAAGAATAACCATCAAAAAGCCTACCTTGAAACTGAGTAAATTTAATGGTCCCCATCCTCTCCCCGTTCCGGAACACAACTTGACCCTAAAAACAAAAGAAAACAAACAAACAAGAACAAAAGAGAAATGCCACATTAGGCCAGACACTACTGATCTCTCTAAAACTCATTAGTTGTACAATTACAATTATTAATATTGGAAAAAAAAATAGACTCCCATTGGACCACAGATGCAAAATCAAACTAATTGTTTTTACATTGGTTGTGACTTTATCTGGTTAATGTGAGGAGCATAAAATCCATAATGCAACTAGCACATGTGAATTAAAGTGGAGATAGCATCATCAATCATTATGACTATTTATTAAACACCCCTGTGTCCTGTGCTGAGTTGGGGACAAGGTCGTCCAGGGTGTTGGAAAGATGGGGACAGAGGCAAGGCCCCTGGGGCCTGACCCTGACTCTGCTCCCTGTGCTCCACCCACAAAAATGGCGGGTTTTGCTGGTGCCGTTTGGCTTGAGGATCAGAAGGCTGCTAGAGGTCTGTTAGTATTTCTTATTAAGGACAGAGAATGTTTTTGTAAGTTTTTCCTGAATGGTGACGTCAGCCCCAATTATAACTGGGCTATGGTGCAGCACCAAATTAAGCTTCTTGAGCCAGCAAGACCTGACTAGTGTCACAGGCAGCTGAGCATCCCTCATTAGGGACCTTGGGGGCTAAAGACAGCATCATCTTCTGCATCTGTCTCGCTGGCTCCCATATGCTTGGCTAAACAAACCAGGAATTTAAAGAGGGGATGTTGTCTCTTCTTGCCAATTCAGGATCCACCAAAAACTCTGCAACCATGCAAGGAAATTGACACACACTGGATCACTGAATCTTTATCACAAACTTAACTGGTAAGGGGAAGACCCCCATTTTACAGATTGAGAAACTGAGGCTGTACTTTCTGAAGGTTATGTACTTTCCACAAGGTCATTGTAAGTGAGCCTACTGAGATTCAAATGCAAGTCTGATTTTAATGTTCATGCTGTTTCACTATAGCATGTTGCTCTGATACAGAAATAAATTCCTTCCTGTCTTCCCATTATCATGAAATTAGGGGAAGAAATTATTTTAAAGGTACTCTGCTTTTCTCACAGTTATGCTCTGTGTCCTCAGGCAGCAGCACAGGAATTCAGGATCCCACAGAATTCCTGGGAGAAAACCCCAGGAAGCATCTTCCCTGAGGTGCAAACCCAAAGTGCTGTGGCTTTCAGAACAAAGGGGGCATCTCTCAACCTGTTCTCAGGTGGAGAAACACCTTCCAAGGCCACTTTGACACCTTTTTGAAATCCTGAAGACAGCTGTGAGTAGTATCAGTTTGAAACTAACGCCCACAGAATTCTATATTCAGGTGACGGTAAGCAACTCCCTGGAGTGTGAAAACACTTCAACGTAAGGTGAGACAGGAGCTGTGATTTTATTTCTAGGGACGATTGAAAATCACAGAACACCTTCCAAAAGGATCACTTTTATGTAAATGAACCACTTTGCCTGGGTGGGAAAGATGCAAACATTGTCCACAAGGAGGACATTTTTTGTTTGACAAAGGTGGCGATCTAACTAATTCAACAATCTCCTGCCAAGCTCTGAAGAATGTCAAAGACTTCTAGATATAAAATATTTACATTTTAAATATGCAGCATCTTTATTAGTTAATTAAAAAGTGTAGGGAAGGGTACTCGAAGCTTGGATGCTATGACATTGGAGTGGAGTGTGGTTGACAAAGAAACTCCCTTCACTTTTTAAACAAAACTATTTAGCTCCTCTTTGAAGACAGACCTGTCTCAGCTCCTCCCACCTCCTTGATTTCTCAGGTGATGCCAGGGACGGAGGCTGAGGCTCAGTCTCACCAACCTGGGTTCCTTCCCCTCTCAGGCGAGTCCTGGAACGTCTCTTAATTATGGACCTAGCACTGCTCCTGGTACATAACAGGCAGTAGCAATTTTATTTAAATGTTTCTAAAAACAGGGAGCTGAAATAAACTTTTAAGCACCAGAGAGCTTTCCAACCCTTGGTGAGAGGCTTTCAACTCTCACATGATTCTGGCTGGCACGGCTGGCAAAGGGGTGACCACCCGGCCCCATCCAGGGTGCTGGAACCACAGGAGCCCCTGTGTGTTCTGTCTACCCAGTGGAGAAAGCGGGGAGTTTCGATGACTGTCGTAACCAGGTGCCGATGGAAACACAGGTGCTGACCAGCCAGGCTGAGGGTCCTCACCAGAGATGAGCCCACGGAGCTCTAGGAGGCCCCTCTGAGGAACAAGCACCCTGTGATTCTTTCCTGAAAAAGCTACAACAGCGTCTATTGGGTTTGACTCATGACACCAGCCCTGCTGCCCTGACTGTGGCTGACTGGACAGGGGACCACTGTCGCAGCCAAGGCAACCTTGATAAGACTGGGCATGAGGAAGGCCCCAGGTCATTAGGTGACCTTCAAGGAATTCTGCACAACAGGTATCCCCCGTATTAGATGGTGGTCAACTCAAACAACATTCCGCAAATATTTCCCTGTTGTGTGCCGAGTATGCTCACAGGTACTGACTGATTCCTACCCTTGCAGAGCTTTATATCAGATTAGTGGGGACGGGCAAAACAAGTGTGCCAATAAGTAAGAAATTCCAGCGGGTGACAAGTGCCGTGAGGAGGATGAAAAGGGAGCTGGGGGAGGGCAGCTGACGTAATGGGGTAGTCAGGGAAGACCCCACCGAAGAGGGGACTTGAGAGCTGAGACCACCCGTCAACAAGCAAATGTTCCAGCCAAAGAGAAAAGGCAGGGCAAAGCCAGAAGGTGAGGAAGGGCTTGAAGATCAAAGGAACAGAAGGGCCAGTGTGGCCGCAACGGGGCAGGTGGTGGGTGGTGGGAGACGGGTAGCTACGCAGGGGCCAGGTCACAGTCAAACTGGAGACCTCACCCAGGGCTCAGGAGGTGACTCAGGTGCAGTGAACAGCCACGGGCGTGGGAGGTTGAGCAAAGCAGCTCTGTGGTCTGATTGGCGGCTCAAGAAGGACCTCCTGGCTGTTGGGTAGAGAATGCATGGTAGCGTGGCAAACATGGGAGCAGAGAATGTGTTTGGAGGCTCTGGTAATCCAGGTGTGAGAGGACGGTGACAACGGTGAAGGTGGTGGTCGAACTCTCTCCCTTGCCAGCTCAGAGTGCGCGGCAGGTGTGGCTGAGCACTGTGGCCCGAGCAGCACTCATCTTCCATTCTGCTCCTATTACTTTGCGCAGCGGGTGCTGCGGTGTGTGCCCAGGTGCCCCCTCGGGAGGGAGTCACTCCTCTTCCCAGCCACTGGGCACCTGAGAAGCACCACAGTCACTCGAGACCAACACAGGTGATCAATTATGTCGTAAGGCAACAGAGTTCGGTAACTCTGGCCTGGCGGTGGCCGATGTCTGCCTGGTGGTGCACAGTTCACACTCACTCTTCCATATTCCCTCTGGGTCACAGGGACTGGGAGCCGGGAAGCCATAGCTCCCAGAGTCCCCTGCCAGCTGGTTTCCATTTAGGGTCTGCTAAACTAGAGCATTCGTGGTGGATTAGAAAACACACATAAGGGGAGAGTTTTTTTGCTTTTGTTCTGGTTGCAGCAGTAGGAGCTGAGATGTAATTGCAGGTGTCTGCAGGGCCCAGCAGCTCTGGTTCCTGCACGGTAAGTGTGGGGGGCCCTGGCTGCCTGGCAGTGGCCAGAGGTGGGGTCCCCAAGCAGCAGAAACAGCAGCACCAGGAGCTCGGAGGCCAATGTGCTAGGGCTTTACCTCTGCTATTCAATTCGTATTCCCAACCTGCTCTGTGGTCATCTTTATAAATTTTATAAATTCTTGAGAAGTTAGAATCCATTATCAATCAGCATCCAGTCAAGAGAATAGAAACCACTTCAGGCATTTCAGAGGCAATGGCATCACCATTTCCCTTTTTGTTCTTTTAGCCCAAGGGGCTTGGCAATTTTCTGTAAAAACTTATCTGCAATAAGAGCATCTACTTGTTTTGCTCTGCCATCCCTTCTAACAAAGCTGTAACCAGTTCCCTGTATTAAATCTCCCTCTGAAATGCCTGAAGTGCTTTCTATTTTCTTGACTGGATGCTGATTGATAATGGATTCTAACTGAAAAGACCACAGAGCAGATTTGGAATACGAATAAAATAATGGAGGTAAAACCCCAAGTGGATAATTTATAAGGACTTTTTTTTTTCCCAGAGAGAGATGTTGCTAATGTCAAAGAAAGCAGTCTGTTTCATACAAGTCAATCCAAACTAACAGTTCGGGTTTAACAGCGAGCAATAAAGCTGCGTTTTCTTCTTCAGAGAAATCTCCGGAACATATACAGTAGCATATGGAAAAAAACCTTAAGTTTTGGCATTAGCTAGACAAGGATAAATATTGCCATCCATGTGAGCTTGGGCAGTCATTGAGCATTTCTGAGCATTAATCCTTCCATTTGAAAAACAGTAAGAACAATACTTCCTTCTCAGGATTGCTCCTGAGAATTAGACAGTTATGAAAAGGGAGTAGCCCAGGATGGCGCACAATAAAGGGTAACTCATCATATTTCCTCCAGTTAATCTGAGTTAGCAAAATGCCATCTGATGCCCGTGGGGAGTAAAATGCACACTAAGGATTCCAGAAGCCTGTAGGATTCAACAGCCTCCACTTTATAAAATTAATTCCCCGTTTTCACTGTTTAAAGTTTTACTACTAAGCATGAGTAAAATTCACTCCAAAAACAGTTTGAATCTTATGGGCCAACTCCTGTGTTTGCAGCCTCTTTTTTATTTTATTTTTTTAATCTGTCTTTAATTTCACAGTGGAGGGCAAGGATGCCTTGCCTGGAAACAAGATCTGGCGTAGGGTCTGAGAGGCCAGAAGGTTGAAGTTTTGATGTCTCTGTGAGGTTTATGGGCAATGCTCGGGCTGGAGCCAGAAGCTAGTCGGATGAAGACTTGCCTGGCTCAGCCCAGTAACCTGGGGCCCCAGGCCTGTGCAGGGACACAGTCACTGCAGATCACAGTGCATTTAGGGAGGGATCTTCTTTCTTAATAAG